ACATATCAGCATGCTAGCACATGGGGAAATACGATTTGCTAAACATTGGCAACTTATGCAAAAGCCGCTGTATTTGGCATTACCATTTTGTCAGTACGTGTGGTTTTTTCTGCAAATTGGCTGCAACAGCAGTTAATGCATAAATAGCTTTTATTATGGATTCCACAGTAGATGTCTGCTTGTAGCTGAGAGCCATTCGTTGGATGTCAACCTTTGAGCAGTCATCCGTGTTATTCCCATTTGATAATGTGCAGTTATACATCTGGAAATTGACGAGTAAATTTTAGAAAATCCCAAAATATCTTTCAAAGACAGACGATTAATTTCGTGTTTTTAATTTGGTGCATTCGGGTATGCCCGCTAAAATGAAGTTTACCTGCTGTATAAGTGAACTGAGCAACGAGTATGACTGGTAGTTGTTCTTCAGTACACGCAAAAAGTAATTCTTGAACTGCGGCAGATCATGTTGCTGCTGACGCAAATATATTATCTAAAATTATTACAAATATTAATGCTGACAGAAAAGGCGGGTCACAAAATTTTTTATGCAGCTACAGAAACCTGCAAATCGGAATCTACTACAAATTCCTGCAATTCTTTTCCGGAACGATCTTCGTCAATACCCAATTCAGCAATAATCCATGTCTTTTCGCTTCCAAATTCCCTTCCAGACAATAATTTTGTCACCTAAAATAGTATTATTCAATCACAATTATTGGGGTCTGCAATTCTGGAGCCACAACTCTTTCCATGGAAAAAACTGTCTTATTAATGTTACGAGAAACAGCCGGATTACCCTTCTACAGCTGGAATGTATTGGCATAGAGCCTTACCAATCCATGTGATACAAATACGTACGATCCCTTATGTGGTTTCTATGGATTCAGCATTTAGCCACTACAATGCTGTCGCTACTTCTAGAGTTACCAATTAGTGCCATTTGTACAAAATTTGAAAAACTTTAGAGAAACGATAAAAGTGTTGCTTGCAGAATCGTAACACATAAAAAATTCATTTTCATGAAACAAACCATCCCCGGATTTTGTATTTTGTTCTAAGAGACACGGTAATCATAATTGGAAAGGCAGTACCATCACCACCACAAATCATTCGAATGGGCATGCTGCATACTGAGACTTAATTTCGTAATAAAGAAAATACAAAATTGCATGACATATCAATTTACTACCAAAGCCCAGAACTGTGTCGTAGGGCTAGCGTGATCTGGGAAACAACAGGCCAGTCGGTGCGAGCACACGTCTTTGCTCAGCCTTTACGCAGATTCCACTCAGAAGAAATGATATCTGCATTTTGAAGCGAAAGACGCCCTCGTTCTCTCCCAACATCCAGTTCCAGTTCTTCGATGAGAAGTGGAAATGTTGTTAGAGCGGTCGTTCGTCAAAAAATCCAAACATGTAAATGAACTGGATGTTGGAAGAGGATAAGGACGGTAGCTGCAAAATGCACTCGTTTCTAAGTTTGTGGCAAAGTCAGTATTTCTCATAGCCACCTGCAGGGAATTTCACCTCCAAGCAGAATTAACACCAGACGTAAAAGTAGAATATCACAGCGAAGTTTCAGTCTCACAAATTATGCGATAAGCGAAATAGCCACTTCGCTAAAAATATCTTTGGTGTGCCCAAAGTTATGGCGCAAATACAAGTCGGAACTCAATTTAGGTATACGATTTCCCACATGAACAATAAATATTCTGACAAAATTTCAGCCACTTTCTTCCGGCTAGTTTTCGAATTAGCACAGTTCCAGGTACAAACTTTGACATGATCTTACGTGCCGTACAAGCGTGCGCAGTGGCTGAATTTGAAATTTTTAGCTCACACAAGCGCAAAAGAATGTTCCTGCAAAGTTTCAGCTTTTTTTCTTGACTGGTTCCCAAAATCGTTTCCCGCCAAAGAAAGTTGCATATTTTGTGGGGGTTCGCACTCGAGATCTA